TTTGTAGAGTAATTTACAACAGCTTTTAACGTGGCTCAGCCAATCAGAATCAAGCACCGGAACTCTCCGCTTTATAATGTGTATTGACTTTATTTGTGCGGATCTTAAAGGAGGTTTGTGTTGTGTGGCAGGTGCTGGCCCGTGATGATGATCTGGGCTCTAACGGTCAGATCAGCTACTCCCTGAGCAGCGGGAACGAGGCGGGAGCGTTCAGCCTCACATCCGGAGGTCAGCTGAACCTGATCCGAACGCTGGACCGGGAAACTCAGGACAAATACACGCTCATCATCACGGCGCAGGACGCAGGTAAGAGCGGCTCCACTGCAGTGATGCAGACCAATGACAGAAACTTCACTTCTGTTAATCCATGGTTTCCACACGCACAGTCAAAACACACCTTCGGAGAAACTCTAATTAAACAACACTGTTACGCCCAATGATTTCAGCTTCCTAAACTATTTCAAAAATTGCTGTTTTGGCTCTGTTCTTCCTCAGTGTTTCTGGCTTGTTTTTCAGTACAAATATCTAAACATTCTTAAATCAGGATGCATTTACTGGAGATGCAAAATAACTCAATAGGAGGAAAATTATATTAAGTCTTGTCTTCTGAAAAATTTATCGAAATGAAATTAATTTTTTGTCTTGTTTTAATCATAAACTCACTTAACTTTGATATATCTGACCAACAGGGGAGATTTTCACAACTTTCACTATTAAAAATTGTATTTATTCATATTTTGTATACATTCTCATAATGTTGAGGAAAAAACATTCTTAGAACAACATTCTCAAAACATGCTTATGATGTTATTTGTACTTGAACGGTTTTTCTTGTAAATCCTTTAAATAATGTTATAATTACATCAAGAAACCTGTACATTTTAACGTTTGTAGAATATTAAAAATAAAAGTTCAAATAACATTATATTTTGGGCGAAACTAAAGTTAGTAAAATGTTTCAAATGAAAACTGGACATTTTAACATTTTAGAAACATTTCAAAACAATGTTCCCACAACGTTTTTATAACCCAAATTTGTTACCTGTGTCGCACCATTTTCCTACTCAAGTAAATCTTGATTTAAGAATAGATATTTACAGTAGATATTTGTCCTGGAAAATCTTTTTTTTGCAGTGTGGTTGCGCAATTTTCGGTGCATCACTACTGTTAATGTGTGAGAAAACATGCCTGGGTTTTATTTCGGTCTTGGTTTTGGGAGGAATTTAGATTTTTATCATTTTTATAAGATTTAAAACAGATTTGTAAGAAGTGTTTGCTTTTGCGTCATGTTTTGCGTGTTGTGTGGTTTTGTGTGTAGAGTTTAGAGAAAAGGAGCCATGGTTTCAAAACAACTGTAATGTGTGAGAAAACATGCCTTGGTTTTAATTCGGTCTTGAGTTTGAGATGAAATATGACTCAGAGAAGTTCTTGACAGGTTTCACCCATATATTGTAAAGTAACTTTGTAGTAAATATTTCCGCAGTTGAACTTCAGTTGATCTGGAGCTGATGTTAATCTCTGTGTTGTTTGGAAAGCCTTTTTCCTTGTGTGTGTGTGTGTGTGCGTGCGTGCGTGCGCGTGAGTGAGTGTGAGTGTGTGTGTGTGTGTGTGTGCGTGCGTGCGTGCGAGTGAGTGTGAGTGTGTGTGAGAGAGAGAGAGAGAGAGAGAGAGAGAGAGTGTGTGTGTGTGAGAGAGAGCGAGTGTGTGTGTGTGTGTGTGAGAGAGTGTGTGTGAGAGAGAGAGTGTGTGT